AAGCTTTGACCTAAGAGAATTAATGGTAGGAAATCCATCCTGTTTGCTACTTTTGTTAATAGATAAAATCCTGTTTTGATTCATAACAAGTATTATATCATTCTGACCTTTACCAGAAGAAAACAAATGGCAGAGTCTCTCTTTTTGGTTATTGTCACAAAAGAAAAGTCAAACATGAAGGCAAATGAATAAAGTGCCCCAGGATTAAAAAGCATGTCTCCTTTCATGCTCTAAATTCTTTTGTCAGGTTTGTGATATCCTACAGGACTAAGCAAAAATGAAGTGTTTAGTACCTTTAGACTATTTAGACAACAAATTCTTCTAATACAATAGAAAACTATATACTCTGTAGCACTTCCTACTTTACAGAAAAATTTTCCTGTAAAGTAAATGCACTATTTTGTAAATACAATGAGACCTAAATGTACTCTGGAAAAAAAATTTGTAGACTAGATATTTTGCAAAAACCCTTCTGCCTTTCCTACAAGGTTCAAAACTTAAAAATTTTGGATGGAAAAATTTTTAAATTGAACTCTTCTTTAAATACAGATAGTAGAGCAGGGCAAGAAGGAGTAAAGAAAGAAAAAGAAGAAAGAAAACAAAAATTGAAGAACTCAGAAAGTACTAAACCAAATATGGAAGAGACATCTTCTCTGGAGCTCCAAGCTCCAGATTTTAAGAACAGCCTGGGGATGAGTTTCTGAACTCATAGAAAGTACAGAGCTAAACACAGATACTTGCATAAAGCTGTAACTCTGAGAGGTGTCTTTCTCGGTGAAAGGTGAACTAGAAACTAAATAAAATCAGCCAACCAACAAAAACTATCCAACAAAGGAAAACTAAATAAATGTGCCATTTTGGCTTCAATTCTGGAAAAGAAGTCCTATTTATATGCTAGGAGAAAAATCAGAACATTTTGAAACCAGATGAATACAATTACTGTCTTTATAATAAACAGGCCTACAATGAATTACATTTGTATGAAACTGTTAGATAGAAAGAGCTTTATATATCTTAAGTTTACTTATCCCCAGAGTCAAGGTAATGAGATGAGTAATCAGTGTGCCCTTGTGTTCAATCCTCAGCACACCATGAAACCAAACAAAAACAAAGAAAGAGAAGTTTGTAAATAGTGTGCCAAATTTGCCACTTGGAGGCTTCTGATATTACACACCTAACACGAAAGATAGCTGTGGGAGAGTAAACTTTTTTGAAAGATTTCAGCAATGGAGAGTTCACACTTGAGTAGTCAGAGACTAGGAGAAGCTTTTCTACTTGCCAATTCTTGCTTCATTTGTTTATCTTTAAAAACAGCTGTATCCACTTAAACAGTGGCCAGTTTTGAGAATGGGAGAGTCTAGTATCTAAGTGTGAAAATATTTGGGGTTCACAGTAAAGGAAATAAACTTTTTTGGAATGAAAATAAGCTTTCTGGCTTGTTACTCACAACTACCCCCCAAAAATGACCTGAAGAAACTGAATCTTTGGCTGTTTCACTATTGCTATTGGACAGATGCATCAACATTGCCATTCAGCTGCTGGGAAAAAGCACAGTGCATTACTCGTCAAGAAGGGTCTCTCAGAGGACACTACAGCTGGGTGGACCCTCTGACATGGAACCATCTGGTGGCTCAAAGCTGTGTTTTTTGGAATCCCCCTTGGAACCATATGCCACACTCCAGTGGTAACAGCTGCTGCAGGGTTCTTTCTTTTCCTTATTTTCTGTATATTCTTTGTTTGAAGAATAGTTTCCATGACTAAAGTAAATACTAAAATAGCTCAGAGGACACTACAGCTGGGTGGACCCTCTGACATGGAACCATCTGGTGGCTCAAAGCTGTGTTTTTTGGAATCCCCCTTGGAACCATATGCCACACTCCAGTGGTAACAGCTGCTGCAGGGTTCTTTCTTTTCCTTATTTTCTGTATATTCTTTGTTTGAAGAATAGTTTCCATGACTAAAGTAAATACTAAAATAGGAATTCAGTTTGATTTCCTCATTAGATAGAGGAAGAGGTGAGAACATTTGTCCAAGGTTGAAGGGCTTGCAAGCAGCTCTGCTCACTAGTGGCTCAGGTTAGGCCCACAGGGATGGGAATCAACAGTTGTCAACAGGGGGTAGCAGGAAGCCAGACTTTTCAAGCCTTAGATGTTCATTTTTCCTGATGCCATCTCTCCAGCTTCCACATTTGAGTCAGGACATCTTCCAAGAGTAGTATTTATCTGTATTATACAGGAAAAGCAGGCCATTGTCTCAAATTTTCTTGTTTTAAAGTGGTAATAATAAAGCTTGTCTCATATCATTACTATAGTAATTAAATGATAAATAATTGGCTCCAAAATGTGGCTAGCATAGGCTGGACTCTTGGTAAGCATCCCATCACGTGTGACCCTCGGTGTTTGTGTTGCTGTAATACTGCTGAATGGTTGTATTTTTGCAAACTTCCTGCCCAAAGATTGAAGAAATGGTGGTGGGTCTCTCTTTTCTGGAAGCTGCAGAAGGTGGACTGGAAAAAAAATTGCCTTGAAAGGGTCATGTGGAGTCATAATGAATCTTAAACCAGGTAGCAGATCTAACTAGTAGCCAGTTTCCAATGAGTGGTCTCTTTTGACCAAAATGGGTAAAAACCTTTCCTTTCTATGGAAATCTGGTATATAGCAACAGAAGTGACACCAATAGAAAAGAAAGAAAAAGACTTCAGTGAGGCAAGAGTGGAGTTAGGGTAGGAGACAGAACCTTCAGCAATTCCCTTAGGAGTGGCAGTTCATTTTCCATGCTGGAAGCTAGAGACATTCTGAAAACCACCCCCGAACTTCCAGGGAACTGTAATCTCCAAAACCTACCACCATCTGGGTTCACTTGCTCCCTGGCACAACACCAGCATCCTCTGTGCATTTTCATCAAGGTACAATCCATACTGGTTTACAGAGAAGCAAGAGTTGAGGGATCAGCTATAGGCATAGGCTGCCCTACTTGTGAAGGCTATAAATGAGAGAGTTTTGTGAGGAACCACCTAAAGAATTTTGAGAAAGAAAAATACTTGGCAAATTGTATTTCCCCTAGATCTTTAGGACCTCTGCTTTGTTAGTCCTGGACATCTGAGCTGATACTGGACATAGATTCAGGTATGGGAAATCCATCCCTTGATCAGCACTAGAAATTGTCCTTACTTAAACTTCCCATTTGGCAGGACTTTTTTTCCCTTGAAGCAAATATTTCAGTTTCAGTGTGGAGAATTTTCTAATTGAAACAAGTCATCACATGGAAAAAATAGACAGCACTTGCAATTCTTCCTTTTTTGCAGTTCATAATTCAGTTCCAAGTCATCTTCATTTCTTCCTTCATATGTGCATCAGACATTTGTTGGATGGCACTGCTGCCTGGCTTGGTGTTAGGCTGGGGAGGAGGATAAAGAAAATGGCCTGTGGCTGCTTAGAGATTAGAGCTGCTTAGAGGCAAACTGGAGAGCCCCGCATGTCATAGGAAGCCAAGCAGTATGAAGTCTGCTCAAGGCACAGCCAGAGCCGTACAACTCAGAAGAGGGTCTCTGAACAAAGTGTGTGTGGGGGCTGAGGGTATACCAGGTAGCTTACCAAATGGTTGAGACCTGCTCTGCTTGTTTTTCAGGCTTTTTGAGATAAATGTGTAGGTCTGGCTTCTTTACTTCCTAGAATTGCTTAACAAATGATTCTGTCAGATCTGGGACAACTTCATTAAGACTCAGCAGAATAAATGCAATCCTCTCTTCCCACTGTGTCCCACCGGGGCTTGGTTCAAATTCTTCAATTTCTGTTGAACTTCTGTCACTGCCAGCAATAGAACTCATATTTCTCTCCTTTAGAAACTTGACACTGATATTTTTCATGTGTTTATCTTATGTTATCCATAATTAGATGAGCTGTTTTACAAAGACAAGAGTCTTTTTCACTATTCACAGAAGGGTAGAGTAAAATCTCTCCATGATGCCTCATGTGTAAATGTTCCTGTTTGCTCTGGTAGAAACAAAAAGTCTTGGCTGAATCCAACCTCTTTGTTTACTATGAGCCTTTGAGAAAATTATTTAACTTTTTAAACTTGATCATCACTTGGAGGAAGCATTTATTTCCAAATGGGTGAAGTAGCAGTTTATTCCATTTTGGTTTTCCATAGATCACTTTCAAGTTAAGACATGCTCTATAACTATAGTATTGTGGGATTTTGAGAATAATTCTGTGAGTATATCAAACCTTCTTCACACGGAAACCAGTTACTTGCCTTGATCATTTACTCTCCTTTGATCATTTGAAGCTCTTATTTGCTTTATTGAGACAGGATGCCCTGAACCTATCACAGTTTTCCAGTTTACATGTTTTCTAGTTTCATACATTGTTTCCTCTATGGGTGCTTTGCGAGACAGTGAGGTACACATGAAAAATGCATTAATCCAGGGCAAAGATGATCCTGGATTTCTGAATGAGCTATATGACTTTGAGGAAGTTATCTAACCAACCACATTGTGGATCAATTTCTGTATTTGCAAAATAGAGAAATACTTATTTCAAATATTCATGAAGACAAACCATTTGGCATTTAAAAGCCTGGTGTACTGCCTTGCTCATGGTAAGCACTGAATAACTTGGAGAAGAAAGTGAACATTCTCATCCTTATTTAAAATATCTTTTCAAAGTGGAAGATATATTTAATGAAATAGGTCATTATTTTTTGGAACCGGGATCGAACTTGGGTCCTTGCGCTTGCGAGGCATGTGACAGAACCACTGAACTAAATCCCCGGCCTGGTCATAATTATTTTTAAAGAAATACTTTTTGGACTTCTGATTTAATTCATTTTGTTCATATTTAAATGGTCCTCTTCTATTTCAGTTATGAATATAAGAACAGTGTACTCATATATTATTAAACATGAATTATAATTTCAGCCTTGCATTGTTGCAAACTTAAATGTACAATGTGTAACATATATATGCAGAATAAGCCTACTATCTTCTGCTTAATGTTCAGACAGTCTTGGCACCTACAAGAAGCAAGAGCTTCAGCGAGAGAAGTGGGAGAGAAACAACAACTTGCCAAGCAGAAGCCTTTCTCGGCGTTCCATCAGCAAGGAGAGATGGGTGGAGACACTGGTGGTGGCTGACACGAAGATGATTGAGTATCATGGGAGTGAGAACGTGGAGTCCTACATCCTCACCATCATGAACATGGTGCGCCAGACTTTGGGGGAGGGATGGCTGACTGGTGGACCGTTGTTATCCGTGTCCTTTTCCCCATATACATGATTCTAGTCCCTAAGTGAATGAGGATGGAAATTTGGGACAAATTAGTCTTTCCTTTAAAACTGCATACCCTGGGGAAAGCTGTGGTTTATCATTTGCATGATTCTATCAGGTATTTACCAAGTGACTTGGTCTTTTTAGTATGACTTTGTCTCAATGATTGTTTACTTTGGTATAGAAATGATAATCTGAGGCTTACAAAAGCTAGACTATGATTTCCTCAAGAGAGAATGAGAACTGGAATGAAGTTTTATGGCAGTCCTTAGTTTTAAGCTTCTTTTCATTATTGATGTGTACCGCCTTCCCAGAGAGAGTTTCCATCCTCTTGAGATGGGGAAAGATCTTCATTTAAATGACTGAAAAGAAAGAGGGAGACATGCTGGATTGGGGAAAAGGCCAAAGAAAAGAAAGGCATAAATAGCTCAAACACACAGCCAATCAATCACCCTTAAAGCTTTTTTTTTTTTTTTTTTTTTTTTTTTTTTTTTTTTTTTTTTTTTTTTTTTTGGTGCCAGGGATTGAACTCAGGCATGGTGCCACTGAGCCAAATCCCCTGCCCCATGAAAGGTTATCTTTAAATAAATACCATAAATTAGATAGAGCTTTGGTCATATCTTACTCATCTTTGTACTATGCCAAGAATTCATGACCTATAATGTCATGTTTATTTAAGTGCATTGCAGTGCTGTTTTCCCCCTCTAGCATGGATACATATTATTTGTCCATGGAGAGTTAATGGTTTTCTATTTCTGATCTCAGGTCACTGGGTTGTTTCATAACCCAAGCATTGGAAATGCAATTCACATTGTTTTGGTTCGGCTCATTCTACTTGAAGAGGAAGAGGTAAGGAAGGGTTTCCCCTCCACTCTTTTGCCCTATATCCTCACATTTCCTACCTCTTTTTTTTCTAAGAGAACTTTTGACAAATGAGGAAAAGGTTTCCAAATAAGTATTTGGAAGCCCAAAGAGAAAAAAAAGTATTATTTATGTGCTATTTTTGAGAATCCAGAGTTGGAAATGAAGAACATTTCCAAAATACACATAGTTGGAATCACCTGACTGTCACTACGCCTAATAACATGAAACTAAGATGACAGTCACTACCTAAGAATGGCCCCCGTGAAAATAGACTAACTCATGATATGGGTAGATAATGGTTTCAGTAAAAAGAGACGTAGAAGTGCTAAGCCTTTTGTACAATTAATTTACTGTGGCACATTAACATATAACTCTAGGGCTTGGGCCCTCTTGTCTGCACTTCTGCCTTTGGGGACTTTGTCTATTCTCAGAAACATGTATTCACATGTGGAGACTTCCAAGTGGTACCTAAAGCTTGGCTCTCCTCCTCTTCCTTGTATTCCTAACTTATATCCAGTTGTCCACTTGATATCTGAAAATGTCATATTCTGCATGATCTGGAAAGTTTAATAAATCCGAAGTGGAATTCTTGATCACCTCCTGCCCAAATCATCTCAATTCTTCCTCCTTTCATTCCCCAAACCACTATCTTATTCAACTAATAAACTGTTCTACTGCTATCACCAGTTAAACAAGCCAGGAGTCATTTTTCATTTCTTTTTTTATATTGTCCCAATCCAACAGCAAAGCTCCTATCTCCAAAGTAATTCCCAGACCATCCACTATTCATCATCTCTACAGTCATCGCTTTGGTTTTTGCCTTTTCATATCTTGCCTGAGCCAGTGCAGTGAACTTTCAGGTGGTTTCTCTATTTTCAGCCTTGCTTCTATGATCCATTCTCCATAAGTGATCACTTTAACTACACCCATAACTGATAATCTAAATTTCAAATTGAGTTTCTCAACTGCAGCAAACAAACAAACAAACAAACAGCCTTTAGCGGCTTTCTGTATGTGTTGGGACACATTCAAAATTTTTTACTGCAGAGGCTTTCACAGTTTTTTTTTTCTCATTGAGTTTATTGGCACATTTTAGGTATACAGTACAGTTACATTCATCATTGGAATCTTGTACCTTTACATGACAGGCCTTGGTTCTCATTTTTTCCCCTTGTCCCTGCCCTCCCTTAACCCCTCTTCTACACTCTCATCATTGGAATCTTGTACCTTTACATGACAGGCCTTGGTTCTCATTTTTTCCCCTTGTCCCTGCCCTCCCTTAACCCCTCTTCCCTTCCCTATTAACAAAAACTTTATTTCCATTTTTTTGTTTTCTCAGATTTTTTTCTTTCCCTTACTTCCTTTCCCCTACCCTTCCCACTTCCTCTACACTGTTAGCCCTTTTCATCCTATTTCACATTGTCAATTATACCATTAGGATCTCATGTACAATTATAGTTCTTCACTCCAGAAAAACTATTTACACCTGTGACTTATTTATTTCACTTAAGAGTATGACCTCAGAGACTTTCACAGTTGCCTCCATCCACCTATCTAATATCTCCTTATGTTACTCTTCCCCTTATTTCATTCCTTCATGCTCTCTGGACTTTATGTAGATTCCAGAACATAACGCACTTTTCAGCAGCATGGTTTGTGCATTCATGACTCCCCATACCTGAAATATCTCTCCCTCATGGCTGGCACCTTCTCATCGCTCAGTTTAAACATTGTGCCTCTTCAGAAGGGTCAAAGTGAACAGACTCCTCAAAGCTGGTTATGACTTTCTGTCATAGAATGATTTTCTCAAAATCAGTTATTATTATATGTATTTATTTGCTCTTTTTTTTTGTTTATCTCAACAATGGCTAGAGTGTGAATTCTGTGAGTGCAGAAAATATGTTCCTTTATCCTGTTATATCCCCGCCACCTAACACAGTGCCTGAGATATGAAGTAATGAATGATATGAAATGTCATGAATGAGGAAACCAGCTAACCTAATGAAATACCCTTGCACTCCATAGTGCCTACTTGGCAAATGCCATAGGTGGAGAGGCGTGTGAAGAAGAACATTTATCTCTCTCTCAGGAAGACTTGTGGTCAAAATGCCAAGGCAGTATTTATTTAACAGGAGAAATCTCGATCAGAGACTACCTTAAGAATAATCTCTAGAGCCTGGGTCCGTGTTTCTTCTCCCCCCACCCCAGTTCCTTTTTGCTCTGTCAACCCAAGATGTATGTTCTAGGTATCTTGGAATACCAGTGGGTATATCATTTTTCTTCCTTTGCTCCTTCTGTTAGGAAAAATTTTCCAAAATGTGAAAGCCAGGTGAGTAAAAACTAGGTATCTTTTAAATGTCAAACAGACTATCTGACTCTATGGTAATGTAACTTTGACTATTATTATTTAGTCCTAGATGTGGTAAAGTTTAGATGTTAATTTGTAGAAAACTGAGAGGCTGCACAGATGATTTTTGTCTAGTAGAGATAAAAATGATTTATTTCTAGCAAAGAAGATAACTCCATGCCTGTGGTTTTATTGGTTGGCAGAACATGAATTAATTTTGTATATAATTTAACAATTTTATTCCTGTATATTTTCCCATTGCCTTTGTGTATTAGTCAACATTCCATTTGCTGAACACAATGCCTGACAGACAACTTAAAGGAAAAAAAAAAAAGTTTTAATTTATCTCGCAGTTTGGGATGATTCAGTCCATAACTCTGTCCAAGGTAGAAACATCATGGTGGAATGGTATGGTGGAAACGAGCTGATTAGTGGCAGTTGGGGAACAGAGCAAGGGAATATTCTGGGAGAAAAACAGGCCGGAAACCTGAATAGTACCCAAAGCCACTCTTCCATAACACACCCAGACATACCTACAAGAATGCTTTATTAATCTCCTAGATACTCCTTAATCCTATGAAGTTGACAATTGGGATTAATGGTCACACCATTATTGCATTAACTTCTTTATCTGCCTTTGTACCAGTTTTGCCATCTTGCCTGTTTTCTCATCAATGAATTAAGTAAGTCTTTAATATGTTATCACTGTGTATTTGTACAAAAATTATATTTTTAAGTTTTTGAAAATTGTACTTTGATAATTTTGAATACAAAATTTCAGCCTTTCCAAATGGGTGAGCATATGTGCATGCTTAGATACAGATGTTCAGAAAGATCTAACATTTTTGGACCAAAAGAATGACAGTTCTTCTGCATGTGAGAAGGAAAAACCATTATGCTCTGCAGACAAGCAGTACTCCTGGAAGGACTTCAAAATGTGCCTTGCAAGGATGAAGCTGCTTAGAAGGCCACATCCCTTCATTCTCTAGAATTAGTACCACCAGGGCACATTAATTCTGGCGTCTTGCTGCCAGTAAAATTGTTCAGGAAAATATGATTGCCACTATCTCCCTGAATCAATCACAATTACATTGTTTTACTTCTTCTCAACCTGATTTTGCAAACTTGAAGAGACTCAAATGATTTTCTGTAAACAGCAGGGCTCTCTTCCTTTTCCTTGCCAAACATTATCCTCATTCAAGCTTTTATAGACTCTCCAGGTGGTAGAAGAAGTTTCGCAAGTTAACAGCAGAATTGTAATTCACAGACTCATTTTCCTGATTCCCAGAAAACAGTTTAAGCTATTTTTACATCTTTAAATAATGAGCTGCCCAAATAACTGCAAAAAGCAATGCTTCCTGCCCTCAGCTAATGTCAGGGTGGTAGATCGACATAGGCAGGAAATACAGAATGATGTATTAGACTGTGACTACTTGGAGCAGAGTCCTGATTCTCATTCTAACTCTGCCATTAGTCGGTAGGCAACTCTGAGAGAGTCACTTCATTGCTTCTTTCTCCAGCAGCCATATGTCAAATGCTATGCCAGCCACTGAGGATGCAAATATGAATGCAAATCCCATTTTCTGGGCTCCTAGAGACTTCTAGTCTAATGGCCAGTAATATTCAAATTTTAAGAAATTAACTGGAGTTGCTGTGAAAGGTATTTTAGATATCTAAGCTGGGATTCAGAGGACAAGAAGGAACTAGCTGGTGTAGAGGACATTCCAAGTAGGGGGACGGACAGGAGCACTGGCTGTAGTGTTTATCCTAGCACTTTATAAATGAAGAAGAGTGAATGAATCAGTGACATTGAGCCCCACAGTGGGAGGATGAGAAATCTTGTTGTGGTATTTAAAAAATAGTATGATTATGCTGGAACCAGGGGAGATAATAACCAATCCCAGTGCTCTCTTTAATTCATAACTGATCTAATTGCATTGTTGTCTGTCTCTGTATATAAGAGACATAATGGTGAAAGCCAAAGTCTGGAAGACATCATTGATACTTCTTTCCCTGTCTTATGCAGTCCAACTCCATCGGTTGCTGCTCCATTTACACCATTTTAATCCAAGCTAGTTATTTCATTCCTGGACTATGGTTGTAGGTATATACTTTCTGGCTTACTTAAAAACAATTGTATTCCTTTCAACTCTGTTTCCTCACTGCAGCTTGGATGATCTCAGAGTGGTAATCTGGTTATGTCTACCTTTCTGCCTCCACTTCCCCAACCCCTATCCATGACTTAAAGCAGTGCAGTGGCTTTTGGGTTTCCTTTCTCACTTCTTATATTCTTCCTGCCTTGCTGTTGGGTAGCACCTGTCCCATACTCATCATGATTTCTCCTGAAACTGGTCTTCTCACTGCCTGAACTGTTTTACTTTCTGTCTTCAGTTAATTATCACCTTAGTGTTAAAACCTCAGCTTCCAGGTCAGGTTTTCCTTCATTGGGAAAATCTTCCTTGATCTCCAGTCCCCATAAAATCCTATTATACACTGTCATAATGCTGTGCTGTTTCTCCTTCATAACACATATCACAGTTGTAATTTTGCATCCATTTTGCTGCAGTTTCCTCCATTAGTATGTGAAACTTAAGGACAGAGGGTCAGTCTGGTTTTGTTCACCATTTATCCCTACTAG